TAGACCTTTTAAGAGTTTCATAAGGTTCCGAAACATCACTAGTGGACATACTAGGTGTGACGTGCCTGTTAAAGTCGAGCGGTAATGCCTTCACTACTGCGAGTTGCTCACGTGGATCGGTCAAGCCGTGCTTGTGGAAGTCAGCTTTTGAGTAGCAGAACCAGGCTTCAGTATTGTCGGGCCAGAATGGTATTAGCTTAAATGAGGGTGGTGTAAGAGACTTGATCTTAAATAATTCGGGAGTCTGTTCGGTTATGATAAATTTAAAGTATGTATCACAATATATAGAGATTAAAGTAACATATTGATACATAAAGTCCCAAAGAGGAACAGACTCATAGTTTATGAATAGGTATACCAGATCACGTTAGGCTCATCACTAAAGATGCTACAAGTATTCGGAGTTTGAAAACACCTTGACCAGTAACATCTTTCATAATGGAAACGTGCCAAACCAGTGAAATCGGAAGTCACTAGCGAGGAGGCTCGAAGATATATTTCATAGAATATCGACATATCGAGAAGTGACTAGTCTATGCTGGATAGTGGTTGTAGGGGAAGTGAAGCATGGCGTACTCACTCGTGATCTGGTGTGGATACATGACCGAGAGCCTACAGCTAGGTGAGTCCACTAACCCCAATGTGGTCATCATCAAATGTCGAAGACTTACAGAGCTATTGATGTTAGGGATTTATTTACCGCTACACAACCTTCGAAATATCCGTGATACTGGTTCTTCAAAGAGATGCCTACATTGACCAACTCACTAACTATTCTTGTCACTTAAAACAGAATACTGAAGAGAGTCGGTGACCTGGTGGCTGTAGTCAATTATTTTTGTACTTTTTGTCATTATCTTTACTTTGGGTACTTGTTGCACCATAAAGCATTCTTGGTCTACTTTAACTAAAACTACTTAGGTTGAAGTTCGAAATCTTTTGCTAAAATTTATCTTGTGGTACCTCTTTTTACTCCTGGACTGACACTCGTGTTTACAGTGTGATCATTTTGTGTTTTTAACCTTTTTTATTAAATTACAATGGTTGATAAGACTCATAAATATGGACAACCAAACTGCTTGTTTCCCGTTGAGGAAGGAGTGCAGTGCGATGATTGTAAAAAGTGGTACCATAAGATGGCGGCAGCGCTGATAACACGAGCACTGAATGTGAAGAGTTTGTCAGTGTAGTAAGTGCTGCTACCGGAACCGCTAATGACCCGACAGTGGTTGACGGGCAGGTGAAATCTCCGTTAATGTTACCGAGGGGTGAAGTGCCGCTTGATACTGACATCGGCAATCATACAACTCTAGTCGAAATCGAATACCCGAATAAAACTGTCACCACCCCAAATAGTCCCTGTGTGGCTGTCCTGAGTGGTGAGAAATGGACTCCCAGATACAGTTTCAGGAGTTAGTATTTGTAAGCTTTATAGAATAGGACAAAAGGTGGATTCTGAAAGTCTTCAGAAAAACCGCCTCTTGAAGGTTACATTTGTCACGGTTGAAGAAAGGGACCTGACTCTAGGTAATTCACGTAAGCTGATTGGATCCGCAGTATACGTGCGAGAGGATCTCAGCTTAGCTGATCGTATTAGGAGACGAGCTTCAGAAGCGGAAATAAATGAGCGTCGCGAAAACGGGGAAAGAAACCTTGTTCTTAAGGGTTTTCAAATTTTAAACGTTCGGACCAGAATGATCCTCGAGCCACTCTGGGTGGGAAAGTAAAGTTATACACAGACTTAAAGGTATGCTACACAAATGCTCGCAGCCTACTAAATGAAATGGCGGAGCTCAAGTTAGTGGTGGATAAAGAAAAACCGGACGTTCTTGCTGTCTCGGAAACTTGGTTAACGTCAGAAGTATTAGATAGTGAAATCCAGTTGACTGGTTTCTAAACCAGTAGGGCTGAAAGATTCAATCGTAGAAGAGGCGGGGTTATTCTTTACACGAAAAGTACCCTGACCATAAGATTAGCTGAGACGGTAGCACATGTTTCAGGGACATGTGAACTGGTGCGATGTAAGCTGAAATATCGAAGGCAAGATATTGAATTAGTTGTGGTATATCGCAGTCCAGAATGTGTAGCAGATGATTTTCTCCTAAGTGAACATAAGTCCTGGTGTAGCAAAGGTAAAAGTCTTGTAGTAGGCGACTTTAATGCACCACATATAAACTGGGTTAACTTAGAATTAGGGTCATCGATAACATAGTTCGATTGCAAATTGTTAGACACCTCGATTGGATTAGCTTGTAGTGACTCACGTTTATCACGAGAACACGACTGGTTTAATAAAAACAATTATTATTACAACCAACTGTACCAGTGTTTGTTTTAATGTGCTTTTGTTTGACTGTGCTAATGACAGCTATTTTGTGCTTCCATTCTTATACTTACACTTCGATTGTAACTTCGCGCGAATTCGGTTACCTTCTGTAACCAAGCTTGTATCCTGGCACGATCTCGGTATCCTTTCGATGCCACGAGATCGCCAGCTAATAAACCTCGACTTGGTCCATTAACTGTCTTCTGATATTTGGCTTCTCGGGGATTTTATGGAGTCATTTGGAACGAGCTTCTTACGCCTTCTGATTCGCTTGGCACGTGTTTCTTGGTAGCGGTGTTCATAGTTAATCTCAACTCGACGCCACGCTACAATTGGTAATCCCAATTCGAATACAATTGGTAATCCCAATTCAACTACAAGCTTTATCCCAACACATTAGAAATTCTACAATATATGAATTAAGAAACTCTTCTCTTTTAGATTTAGTCTCCACACATGGTGATGACGTTGGTCAAGTGACTTTCCTCCCACCCCTAGGGAGAAGTAACCATGCAGTCATCTTATTTAAATTCATGGCTGAGATTGCCTGTCAAACAGTTGCACCGGCCCGTCCCAACATATGGAAGGCAGATGTGCGGGTAATTAACTCCACAGCGTCGGCTGAAAACTGGGAAATTGACTCAAAGGCATCAGTACAAAAGGCATGGACTCTATTCAGGGAGTTATACAATCGGGTAACTCAACCATACATATCCTGGGCAGTGCCAAAGAAGAAGAAGCATAGCCATCCCTGGATAGACTGGGATATTCGACGTTTACTAAGACAAAAGAAGAAATGCTGGGATGTTGCCGTCCGCCTTGGCACAGCAGGTACGATGGAACGCTACAGATCGATGAGAAACAAGTGTATAGCGAAAATTCGGGAAGCTCAAAAGAAAATATGAAATGCAGCTGACAGAATCTGCACTCAAGCAGCACAAGAGAATATTCTCGTACATAAACTACAGAACAAGGGTGCACCATTGGATTCCCAACCTAATAAAAGAAGGAAGTGAATCTGAAATGACAGAGGAAGTTCAGGAAAAAGCAGAGGCTGTGGCTGACTATTTTGGGGCAGTTTTCACTCAGGAACCTGCTCTATACAAAGAAATAGACCAAAATAAAGAGTCAACAAACCACCTGCTCATCTTGGACTTCGACCAAAACGATGTGCTTAAGGCTCTTAGCACCCTAAACATTGAGAAGTCAACAGGACCAGATGAACTACACCTCAAAATCTTGAGACATATTGCCCAGTATATCGCGGCCCCACTGACTGTGATATTCATTATGTCACTTGACCAAGGTGTGTTACCTATGGACTGGAAGGACGCAATCGTCACTCCCATACATAAAACAGGTCCACGACAAGTTCCATCGAATTACAGACCCGTAAGCCTCACCAATATGGTAATTAAAATACTGAAAAGAATAATCAAATGGACCATAGTGGTATGTATAGAAACCAATAAATTGCTGAACATGGAACAACATGGTTTTAGAAATGGTCTATCTTGTACAACAAACCCCCTTATAGCAAGGGAGTTCTGGATAAATTCGCTAGACAACGGAAACTCAGTGGATGTTGTCTACATAGACTTCAGTAAGGCTTTTGACAAGGTGCCAACTAATAGACTGCTATTGAAGTTGGAAAACCTGGGTATTGCCGGACCTCTTTCAAAATGGATTAAGGATTTCCTAGTAGGTCGTAGGCAGAAAGTAAGAATAAATTCCAAGTGCTCCATCTGAAGACCAGTACTTAGTGGGGTACCTCAAGGTTCTGTCCTAGGTCCTTTACTTTTTATAATGTGTGTTAATGATCTTACAAGTATAGTGCAGTCTCCAATGTTATTATACGCTGACGATGTAAAAATTTGGCGAATAATAACTGGAGACAAAGACGCATGTGCTCTTCAGGCAGACTTAAATAATGTGATAAACTGGTCTAAAGAGCGGTTGATGCCTATCAACGCGGCAAAGTGTGTCTACATGCACTTTGGGGATTCAAAAGTTAATAGGTACAACATAGGGGAGGTGCCACTATCCGTAGTCCGGTCTCATAAAGATCTAGGGGTGACAGTGAGTCATGATCTTAAGACGGCGGCCCACTGCCAAGAGGTCGCAGCTAAGGGGTTTCGAGCCCTCTGGGCTCTAAAACAGACATTCACTAGGTTAGATACTGCCATACCTCAGTATACACATCCTTAGTGAGAACTAAGCTTGAGAAATGCGTTCAGGCTGCAAGCCACTGTTTAAAAGGTCACTCGGATATCCTAGAAAAAGTAAAGAGGGTAGCTACCCGTGCAATTCCAGAACTCTGGAGTTTACCATAGAATAGCGTCTGGAAAATCTGGAACTCTTTACTCTGTCCTATCGCAGACTAAGGGGAGATCTAATTTTGATGTACAGAATACCAGATCAGGACATCTCAGAGGACATAGCAGGCGAGTAGGAAAGCCAAGAACGAACAAACTACCCGTGGCATACAGGTTTTCACACCGAGTCATCAATACTTGGAATCTGCTGCCCGAAGCAGTGGTGTCCGCAGCTTCAATTGACTCTTTCAAAAGAAGACTGAACACTCACAGAAGCATACTAGAAAAGGAATAACATAGGCCATAGGCCTTCTGTCTTGACTACAAAAATCTGAATTTGAATCTGAATCTAGTCATAAAACTGTTTACGCGAAAGCTTCTGTTCATTCACAACAATTTGAAATTTTTGTTCGCGTGCAATTTCAAGCAACCCGATACGATGCTGGGGAACCATGTACGTGCATTGTCGGGACGAGGATGTCTTGTATGGGTGAATTTAGGGAGTGTGAGGAATGCCAACACCTATTTGCCTTATTCAGAATATCATCCAAATATTTATCCTCAAGTGATGGGAGAACTTTGTGATCTGGAATTTCCACCTGATAGAAGGCGTTTATCTGTTGTCAATCGACAACCTCAGCTACTAAATACTAAGCCATCCAAATATACAAGACAAAAAATTGACTGCCGTGGTCCGGAAACCTTACTTAACAAATTAAACTATCATCAGTACGGAATACAAGTATGTTATCCTAAAAGATTACTTCGTATTGTTACCATAGTTGCAGTTATACTTTTCAGTTTTTCTTTACTTTGGTTCTCAATAATTAATATTGACTTACAGTCGATTACACGTTGACTGTTGGCCGATTGGATCTCATTATACTTTTCTACCATATGACGTCATATCTCATAGGTTAATATTACAGTAAGACGAATTCACTGGTGGAGTGGATGAATATGTGGTCATTAGAAATTAATTCTAACGAGCATAGTGATGCAAATTAATAACTGCGACGATTTAACATAACTACACAACAAGTGAATTGGTATTACCTAAAGTAACTGGTTATAAAGATCTAGGAGTCAAAATTAGCGGCAACGATATTGTATTATACCCGATGTTTGCGAGGTATTATCTGGAATATAAAGTTCAAGCAGAGCCCTTGTTTCAGATGTGAAACGGTTTACTGTCAATTGAATGATGATATTGTTATTAATATGTCTTATAATTTCCAAATGGGAATGATTATCTGATACAGCATTGTAAGGACGTTGGAAAATGGAAATCAATTCGTTTACGTCCGAGTAGTGAATTACTATAATCCTCTATCAGAACACATAATAGCGACGCTTATTGGTAAATTAAAAGCTTGTACTTCAGATTTCAAGTATTAAAATAACTCACTTTACCTCCCATCCTTATTTTTGAAGACTAAATGATTATGAAGTTCAGATTTATATCTATCGCTTTGAGCTACTTAGGTAAAAGTTGGTAATACTTCCCGGTTGCTCTGACTGAGGTAATTTGGATAGTGTATAAAACTGCGGTCTGTTGTCTGAAATTTATGTATACTGGCCATAAACTGCTACAACAAAATTATATTAAGAAAGCTCAAAGAGGAAGTATGTGCTACACACCATTGAAGAGCTTTTAGTCTCGTGTCCTGTTTATTTTCCATATAAACATGAAATAAGATGTAGCTGTTCTGCTTACTTTCTTAAGTGAAATGATGCCGTGTACTAGTATGTAACAACTGATCGACTGTTGAATAGTCGTATAGATAGTTGTAGATTACATGGTTGGGGTCTGGTATTATTGTAACCAATGATTTGAAAGTTTGGGTAACATGCCTCAGGGTCGTTTATAATGCCCCACATGCATGCACTCTTTTTATCGTCCTGAGTCATAAGTTTACTAGTCATCTAAAAATATATACCACAGATCCATATTTTCTTCGTGAATCATATATTATATTCCTAGTTAATAATTTCACTACTTTGTCATCCCTCTGTACTGATTTGGTGTATCAACTCGAGCCGATACATATGCTAGATTCTACGTTGCGTATGACTGACTATAGCAATCAGTCTTATTAGTAAGTTGACCATTTTCAATTAAGATTATTTGTTCCACAGGTCTCCTTAAGTCACTCAATGGAATAGTTTAAAGTGTAGCCAAGAAATATGTAGAGTCGATAGGTAATATTATAAGAGAATAAGATTTAAAATCATATAAAATACAATCAAAGTAGACCTCATATTACTATTTAATGAATAATTCCAGAAAAATGCAGCATTATTATTTCGCCCATGTCTTGTGACAACTTAATTCAATAAGTTGTCCAACCTCTAAAATCCTATACAATAAATTGCAATTCACCAATAAATACTGATCTAACACATCTTTTTTTCCACAACGCCTTTTCGTAAGCTGACCACATTTCTGTCCCAGCTTTTGTAAAAAGTATACTGGGTATAATTCAATATAATAACATGCGTAAAACCTGACAAACCCATTTGTTTCAGGAGTAAAGTATTTATTAAATCAACATCAGAATCCAAAACTCGCATTCCTAGACCTTAAAAGTAAGCGTAGTGCAACCACCTTATTTAATAAATTATTTCAAGTCAGTCAGTCAGTCAGTAACAACGTAGGACTTCGTACGTACGTACATCAGTTCGAGTTGCCACACCACATTAGCACACAGATGCAGTGGTCGATTCAAATCCCGTAGTGGTAGAGGTAGTAAGAGTATAAGCAGTAATCGGGAAAATTAGTGTTTGGAGATGATACTTAAAAAGTGTATAATACAGTGAAATAAATTTGAGAGGAGAAAAAAGAGACAAGGAGGAATAAGGAGATCAAAATTTGGGAGAACACAAAGAGTGGATGCACCTGCGCCATTGCAAACGATTTTGAGCCATGTCATTCAGGGTCTCTAACCATCGGTTGCTATCATCTCACGGTCCCCAACCAGGCAGTCTACACCTACCAACATGGCTCAGTCCACTTGTCAGCGACTTCATGGATTTGTGCCATGTTTCGGTCTGGCCGCCCCTAGCTTTCTTCCAACCTACTCCTATACCACTGAACATCGCACGTCGAGGCAGTCGGTCGTTGGGCATACGTAACACGTGTCCCAGTCATCTCAACTGATGAAGTTTCACTACTTCATCAATTGATTTGCCATCCTTACCTAGTACCCGTTTCCTAACAACTGTGTTACTTACTCGATGGTCCTAGGATATACGAGCAATATTTCGAAGACACCTATGATCAAATACTAGTAACCAACGGATATCCTCTACTCTTACTGGCCATGTTTCACTGCCATAAAGTAGGACGGAACGAACTGCTGCGTAGTAAACACGTCCTTTGGTTGATAGACAGATATCTCGCCTACACCATAAATGACACAAGTTGGTAAAAGCTAATCGCGCCTTCTGTATCCGTGCTGAGATTTCGTCACACACCAGACCACAAGAGCTGATGAGACTTCCAAGATAAGTAAGGCAGTCGACACGCTCAACTACTTCACTCTCTATCATTAGTTCGGGTGTCAATGCAACCCAATCCTGAAGCAACATTTTGCATTTCGATGGGGAGAATCGCATCCCGAACATGCTTGCATTGTTGCTTATAGTAGTCAGAAGACTCCGCATTTTGTCAGCGTCTTCACCAAATAGGACTATGTCATCGGCATATTCTAGGTCAACAAGTGAATCTGCCGGTAGAAGTTCAACTCCTGGAAATTTAGATGAGGAAAGTGTTATCTCTTAAAGCACATCAACGACAAAGTTAAACAAGAATGGAGAGAGTGGACAGCCCTGACGAACACCACTTAAGGTAATCAATTCTGATGGCAGTTCGCCAAAAGCTCTTACTCGACCAGTTGTGTCCGAGTAGAGAGCCTTTATAAGGTTAATGTACTTCTTTGGTACTCCTTTCAATGACAAACACTGCCATAGAACCTCACGATCAACAGAGTCTGATGCTGCCTTAAGGTCGAGAAATGCTACGATTGTGGGGCGTCTGAATGTGTGTCTATGTTCTAGAACCTGACGTAGTGTGAATATCTGGTCTATACAAACACATCCAGGTCGAAAACCAGCCTGAGTTTCTCTAGTCTGCTCTTCACGAGCTTTCGTTGTGCGTCGAAGTATTATTGAAGCTAATATTTTAGACACTATATTAGTCAAACTGATTCCTCTGTGATTGTCACAAGAGGACTTTTGTCCTTTCTTATAGACTGGCATAATCAGTGATTGAGACCATTCAGATGGGATTACGTCCAGTTCCCAAATTCTACCTAAGACCTCAGTTAATCTCACTGCTAATACTGAACCACCATCCTTAAAAATCTCAGGAGTGAACCTGTCAGGACCTGCTGCTCTCCCTCGCTTCAGATTTCCTATAGCTTTTTCAACTTCGTAAAGAGTGAGAGGACCTACATTAACTTGCCATTCAGGTTGACTGGAGATCGCGGGAAACCGAAGTGTGGCTGAAGGCCAGTTGAACTGTTCCCTGAAGTGTTCTGTCCATCGATCCAATCTCCTGGATTGAGAATGTATAATATGTCTATCTTTCTCTGAGAGTGTTTCGCTAACAGTCGATTTCCTTAACAAGTCTGAACGATTGTCTGCTATTACCTATTGCCGCTGCCTTTTCCATCTCTCTTGTTTTCGCTACCCACCACTGTTCACGATCGTTGCGTAGACTTCTTGTCAGCTTGCGCTCAAGCTGACTCCGCTCTTCGTTATGTTCATAGCCAGGTGGAATGAGTTTCCGAGCATCTATCAGTGCGATAGATGCTGCTGAGATCCAGTGTTGCTCCCTAACCTTACGGTTTACCCTACTTGCAGATATCACTGCTGTTTCCACAGCTTTTCGGATATCATTCCATGCTGCCTCGGGATGGACATCACATACATGGCTGCCTAACTGTTTTCCTAGTTGTTCCTGAAATATACTCTTAGTTTGACTATCATTAAGTAGGGCCCTTAGAGGTTTGCCTGCAGCGTCTTCCCTACGTCCAGTAAGACGCAGACAAATACGCGCTCGTACTAGAGCATGACCTGAATCTAGGCATGTGATCCAGAATGAGCGACAGTCTTCTATCGAGCCCTCCATCGGTGGCTGGTAGCGATGTGACCTATTTGGGTCCAACGTTGGGACGAATTAGAGGGTCTCCATGTTAAAAGATGTTTTTCCTTATGCCTAAAGTTAGTATTTGCAAGGGACAGGCGGTTATCTAAGCATAGCTGCAACAGACGGTCGCCATTATTTGTTCTTTAAGCCACGACACTATAAGGTCCACCCAGGTGTCTTTCCCTATCGCTTAGTTTACCTACTTGAGCATTGAAGTCACCGGCCACTATTACTACATCCGAGCGCCTAGCTTTTAGGAGGAGGTCGGAGAGCTTTCTGTAAAGCTCATCTTTTACATCATCTGAGCTGCAGTCAGTGGGAGAATAGGCAGAGACGACGAAGAGGCAACGACGAGTGTCCCTATCTTTTCGGATCCTTACTGTTCCGTTTAGTCGGACAGCGCACAAACGACTGTCTACTGGGATCCAGTCTAAGAGAGCTAGTTCTGCCCTAGGACTCAATGCTATACCTACACCGGCGAGGCCGCGGGAAGCAGAATCAGGGCTTCCAGATACACGAAGTGTGAATCGAGTCGGTTCTTTATTTTGGCATGGTTTGGTCAGATGAATGAAGCTACTCGGATCCTGTATGCGCGTTTCGGAGACGCAGCACACATCGATGGCGCGGGATTCTAAAGTCCTAGCTAAGGAAGCCTGTTGCCCTATTTGGCATAGTGTTCGGACGTTAAAAGCTCCTACGTGTAGTTTAGAGCGTGGTTTTAGGAGACCAGGAATAGAGTTCCGCGTACTCGAATCGTTTGCCCTAGCGATGTGAGATGATAACGAGACGTGAGAAGGGTTAGTCATGGAGATAGGAGAGGTATTAGGAGGTGTAGGAAGGATTTGAATGTGACCAACTTGGTCTCGTGTGCTGTTACGGGTATGAGGGCTGATATCACTTCTTGGCTGCCCACACCGTGGAAGGGTATTTCTTGAGGAACCTGAAAAGGAAATTGGATTAGTGTTGGTCTTAACGACCTGGGAGCGTGACCGCAGAGCCCAAGGGATAACTGCTTGAGGCTGGTAGTGCACGGCGTTTTCGTGGAAGGTTTTTAATGTGTTAGCTCCGTTCTTCAAAGAGCCTTACCGCCGGAGAAGGAAATCCGTGAGGTAAGGTGAGGTGTGACATTTTTAGGGTCGACCTTTTCTAACCCTACCCCTCCTTGTGGGAAGGCAGCATCGCTGCAGATGCTGGTTGTCTGAGGAAAACACCTTACTGCTGTCACACCTCTCTACAGTCAGCGGTACGACATCGCCCTCAGGCCTTGAGTTGCTGCTTTTAGTCTTACCGTTCTCCAATCGACCTGCTTGGCATGGTAGGACCTACAGGAACATATGTTCCAGTCATTATGGCTCGGTTGGGTTATCACGTTAGGCAAGCCCGACCACCGCGTCAAGGTAGCAGCTTCGGTCGGAAAATTATTTCAGAGACAATTATGATGGAGTACAGTCGTCCCTCTTCCTTAGTAATGCTTCGTAGACGTAAAGTAAAACTAACAGTCCTAGAATAACGTCAAAAAGGGACTTGGATTGGCTTAAGTCACTATGATTTTCACTAAAGATAAAGTAGTCTTATCTGTCATACCGTCACCAGCTTCTGCTGATGTCCAGATATGTGAGCTCAATTGTTCCCAATAACCACCAAATATTGCACAGATAGGCTTGTAATTGTAGTATAACTACATTAAGTACTTTCTTTACATCAGATTCCGTAGTGATGTTGGTAATAAAATAAAGAAATGGGATTGTGACTGACTTTCGCGTAACAGATACGGATTGAGTTCCGCGTGTTCATCTTAATTAGTAGTTGGAGAGTGTTTAGTATAACTCTGCATCGTTCACATCAGTCTAGGTTCATTCGCTCCTTGTCTCTCAGGTTCTAAGTCCCGAGATCTTATGCTTTTCCTTTCTATGCCTAACCTTTTTTACTACTTCTGAAACTGGAATTTTTCTTGATAATTTCATATTGCTGTATTAGTATGATGTAACAACTTGGATTGATACACATGTTTTCCAAGTTCCACTTCACGTATGAGACTGACTGATGACGATTGGGGTTAGATTATTTTAAAAAACATAAACATGATATATGATGTCTCTGTGATTTATAAATCAATGTATCTACGTATTTATAAAAGCAGTCAAACATTAAGTCAAATGTTCTTTTAATTGCTAAGCATTTTGTATTATGTCAGAACACCGTCATAATGTTGCAATAACCAGTTGCTTGAACTTATTCCCGATACTTATTTCTATTTGGTGACTAACTAAATCACAAATAATTAGCAATTTCATTCCTGTGAAATCTCACTATTTCTCGTCACATAAATTTATCCTGATTGCTATCTTTTGACTCGCTTTCATTCTCATTTCAATTCATTTTTCAGGCAATGGAGGGCGGTGAACTTGAGTTTGGTCATTTCGAAATGATGAGAATATCTATCAACAAACATATAGATGAAAAGCGAATGTTCGCAGTATGGGGTGTCGAGGCCCCCTGGAAACCAGTTACTCGTCGCTCTCAGGGAAGGAGAAAGGGTGGTGGAAAAGGTACATACCCTTAACATTAGTTAATTTGTTCACACATGGTATTTTTCCATAGTCGTCAGAGTAGTCGATTTAAATTATTCTTATTTCAGTTTGATGTTCATCAAGTGTCTAGCATAAATATTCACCCTACAGTCAATCACAAACAACACAGGACCCAGCACATTTATTTATTGGTTTGCCTCAGTTCACAATCAGTAAAGCCGGTACCAATCAACATAAAAAAGACTGAAAAATATCACTACAACTAGATCATGTTCGCATAAAAAGAAGCTGCCGTAAAAGGTGTAATGAGAGATATACGACAATAACATGCCAAGGTTTTTAAAATGTTATATGGATGTATTTATTAGTTCTTACATTGTCTGTGTCTAAATAATATTATCTGAGGTTATCAGCTTTTAATCTCAACCTTCACGCAAATTTCATATAAATGACTTGCTATCTACTACACTATTACGTCCTTAATCTGTCTACCCAATAATATACAGCTGAGAACTTGTCTCGACCTAGGCTACGGCCTCGACACGAGGCTAACTGGTTTAACCTTGATGCTAGAAATTTGTGACTCCTAAATTAAGATTAACGGCCTCAGGCAGAGCGATGAAAACTATTCTGTTACCTTACTGATCCACAAGAAAGAGAAGACAAGTCAACTGGAATACTACTCGATTCCTTCCTGATTCCCGATTCAGATTAATGCACAAAGGTACATGAATAAGTAGATGACTAGCACGATCACAACGCATAAACAATTGGAAAAATACAGACTAAGCATTATGGTAGGAAATATGAGGTACTGAAGGTTACATTTAACTTCCTACAACATTTGAATAGAAAATAGTATGGAAGTGAATCATTCATCAAACAAAAGCTTACGGTTTATAAAAATTGCCAAGGACAAAACTAAATGCTAGTATTTTACAAGCTTTGAACTAAGGTAAACAGTGTCCTGAAAAATAGCATACGTTGTTCGTCATAGTTTCTTTATTTCTCTGTTCACATCATACACCATTCAAATCAACATTTTCGTGAATTTATAGCATATTTCGACCATGCTTCTCTCTTCCTGCTCCCATTGCACCTGGGGTATCATATTATAACGATTGAGTGCACATGTGTCCTAACCACACCAGTTGATAAAAATCCATCACTTCGTCAGCTGATGTTTTTTATCTTTGCCTAACATCTTTGTTCATTATAGGTAGTGATACTTCGAAACATTAGGAATAGAGTGAGTGGCTTACAAACGTCATCTAATGGTCGTAACTGAGTGGTGCACACTGGGACAAAGAGCACTCATTACCTAATATGCTCCCTTTTTGTTACGTATTTAAGCATCTCGTCTGCTCAACAGGATGTTAAAGTCAATAAAAATCCCTTTGTAAAACCAAAACCTCAGTGGTCATTGTTACTAAGTGAATTCATACCTCTTCAGGTCAACCAAAAATTACCTTTTGGCTGTTGGTCTGCATATTCGCCAACTGGGTATTATAAACCATCATGTATCCCCACCTACATTGGTGCACGTAAACAATTGTAAATACATCCTCGACTGGAGAACTATTGAATTTTGAGACAGGAAGTGAAAAGAAGGACAGAATTTTTAGAAGCTTGGGACTCAGGCCAGTCAACAATCAATAAACACATTTACATCAACCCAGTTTATCAAACAATTAGGAAAATCCCAAAAAGCCATAAGATCAAGAATCAGGTTAGAGAAGACAACCAAAATGAATATACAGATAATGACATGGAAAGAGTTTACGAGAACCAATCAATGTCTACAGAACAGGCTGTTAACCATATGTGGAAAAATCTGAATAACTCACTTTTGTTTCATGTTTGTGCTGATAGCACTATCCAATGGGATAGTGCAAGCTTCACAATTAAACTATCTATCTCAGGAAACGAAACACTGTCTTAGCTGCAAATCGTCTCCGTATCACTAGTCCTCATACAAAAAACGTTGCCTCAAAACTGAATACGTGAACTAGCATTTAGTAAATGAATCACAGTATTTGTCTTCCATTTGTTTTATCTCCAACTTGTTACATGCCGTCTTATTCCTCCATTGCGTTTCTAAAATTTATAATTGTTGTAGCAATTATTCATGCAGTATTGCTAGTCTCAGAGTGTTTTTCAAAATATAATTACACTAAATATGATAAACCAACAAATTATTTCTTGTCATACCATTGTTATTTTGTATAACTTACTCTCAGGTTGTTTTTGAATTATCTGAATTCTGTTTAACTAATGAAAAAATTGCATCCTTGATGAAAAAAAAATAAAGACCATATGTAGAAAAAAATTTTACACTGTGCCGCTTAGCAAAACTATACGACCGTATTCACACTTATTTAATACATATGTTAGTGTATTAAAAAATAGAGTGGAATTGAGTCAGATATCTAAAGTAAATTCTTTAGTGATCTAAAGACTAATAATAAGATGAAGATGCTTGTCCATTTGATAAATATTAAGGAGATTCATGATTTTATTTATTGTTACAAATATTTATGAAACGTTAGAAAGCAGTAATAGCAACTAATTATTAAGCAAAAGTAGAATAAAAGACAAAACATGTTGCTTCCGTATACATAGTTTTAGGCTTAAATCAGTAGATCGTTAAAGCCTCCTTTTAGTTTTCTCATATTCATTCGTGGATAAGTCGTTTATCTTTCAACCACTCAGCCCCGGGTTTGATCCTCGCTCCACAAACTTTAGTTTGAGCAACCAGATAGTACCACTAGCACTTACATATATAGTGTGGCTCACAGCCAATTACCTGAAGGATGTGTTAATTTAAATTCAAGAGAAGAAATACGGAATTCAACTGTTTCTCTTTATTTCATATTCAAGTGGACAACTCGCTCATTTACAACCTATCTGCATTTAACCTTTTTTTTATTAGATATCCGACTCAATCCCAGTCCATTTTCTAATCGACTATTATGTGTGCATTAAATAAGTGTCAGTCAGTAACAACGTGGAACTTCGCACGTACGTACATCAGTTCGAGTTGCCACACCACATTAGCACATCGAGGCAGTCGGTCGTTGGGCATACGTAACACGTGTCCCAGCCATCTCAACTGATGAAGTCTCACTACGTCATCAACTGATTTGCCATCCTTACCTAGTACCCGTTTCCTAACAACTACATTACTTACTTGGTGGTCCCAGGATATACGAGCAATGCTTCGAAGACACCTATGATCAAATACTGGCAACCTACGAATATCACTGCCATAAAGTAGGACAGAACGAACTGCTGCGCAGTAAACACGTCCTTTGGTTGATAGACAGATATCTCGCCTACACCATAAATGACACAAGTTGGTAAAAGCTAATCGAGCCTTCTGTATCCGTGCTGAGATTTCGTCACACACCAGACCACAAGAGCTGATGAGACTTCCAAGATAAGTAAGGCAGTCGACACGCTCAACTACTTCACTCTCTATCATTAGTTCGGGTGTCAATGCAACCCAATCCTGAAGCAACATTTTGCATTTCGATGGGGAGAATCGCATCCCGAACATGCTTGCATTGTTGCTTATAGTAGTCAGAAGACTCCGCATTTTGTCAGCGTCTTCACCAAATAGGACTATGTCATCGGCATATTCTAGGTCAACAAGTGAATCTGCCGGTAGAAGTTCAACTCCTGGAAATTTAGATGAGGAAAGTGTTATCTCTTAAAGCACATCATCGACAAAGTTAAACAAGAATGGAGAGAGTGGACAGCCCTGACGAACACCACTTAAGGTAATCAATTCTGATGGCAGTTCGCCAAAAGCTCTTACTCGACCAGTTGTGTCCGAGTAGAGAGCCTTTATAAGGTTAATGTACTTCTTTGGTACTCCTTTCAATGACAAACACTGCCATAGAACCTCACGATCAACAGAGTCTGATGCTGCCTTAAGGTCGAGAAATGCTACGATTGTGGGGCGTCTGAATGTGTGTCTATGTTCTAGAACCTGACGTAGTGTGAATATCTGGTCTATACAAACACATCCAGGTCGAAAACCAGCCTGAGTTTCTCTAGTCTGCTCTTCACGAGCTTTCGTTGTGCGTCGAAGTATTATTGAAGCTAATATTTTAGACACTATATTAGTCAAACTGATTCCTCTGTGATTGTCACAAGAGGACTTTTGTCCTTTCTTATAGACTGGCATAATCAGTGATTGAGACCATTCAGATGGGATTACGTCCAGTTCCCAAATTCTACCTAAGACCTCAGTTAATCTCACTGCTAATACTGAACCACCATCCTTAAAAATCTCAGGAGTGAACCTGTCAGGACCTGCTGCTCTCCCTCGCTTCAGATTTCCTATAGCTTTTTCAACTTCGTAAAGAGTGAGAGGACCTACATTAACTTGCCAGTCAGGTTGACTGGAGATCGCGGGAAATCGAAGTGTGGCTGAAGGCCAGTTGAACTGTTCCCTGAAGTGTTCTGTCCATCGATCCAATCTCCTGGATTGAGAATGTATAATATGTCTATCTTTCTCTGAGAGTGTTTCGCTAACAGTCGATTTCCTTAACAAGTCTGAACGATTGTCTGCTATTACCTATTGCCGCTGCCTTTTCTATCTCTCTTGCTTTCATTAAATAAGTGTGAATAAGATTATACAGTTTTAGTAAGCGATATCCTGAAAGATAAGAATTTCTTTCATGAATTGTTTTTATTTTTTCATGAATTTTATTTAATGGGACAGAAATTATATTCTCCATTGTTAGACAGAGTTTCTGAAAATGATGTGATTTTTAAACAAAATGTTGAATTAACTTTGTTCTACCTATTGAATATGCTTCTTTCTGTTTATTTATCAGCTAACATACATCACTATTCTACTCCAGTAAAAGCTGAAAGGATTATTGTCGAACTTGGAGGTTATCTGAACTGGAGAGAAGCCTATCGTATATTGAGTCGTGCTGCTGATAACTTGCCATTCCATGCTAGATTTATTTCCCAAGAGCTTTTAGATACTGAGTCTCAAATAGAGGCGTACATTAGAGAAAAAAATGTAAATCCATTTTATGAACCAGGTTATGCACTAGCGCACAACTATGCAGGCTGTCGAAGTTTCATCAGTCCGTATTATTTAGATTGGGGTACAATTCGATATCACTGATTCACCCATGTACATATAATGTTTGTTGAATATATTCATAAATAATGATGCCGCTTAATTTAAACAACATTGAATTACAAAGTTTCTAGTTGTTATTTATCCAGTTTTGTATATGAACTAATCTCTGTAACAATATTTATTTCATAGTAAAATTAATCTTATCAAAAGCAATTCACAGTAATTCTGAAGTTGATTTTATTCTACTGTTTTAAATTTCCATTGTTGTACTTGAAAGTGTAGGTAAACAATATGTTTCATACACATAGTTCCCTTTATTATTTTAAAGAGAGCAAGAACAAAAATTGGTGCAGAATAATATGAATTCATTTTATTTCGTTAGGTTCTCATCAGCTGCTTACAACCTAAATTATTTAAAATTCAACATTAATACAGATATTGACATATTTATATATAAGAGTGTGATTAAGGATCAATACATGTGTATGATGATGTAGCGAATATTCAGATAGAGTTAATGAGCTCATAAAATGTTTGATTCGAATAAATAAATAAAGTTTGAGAGGGAAAGTTCCAGAACATTGAAATAGTCATTGGACCTCATGAAAATTGATTAATAGTAATAAAGAAACTATGAATTGAAATCAGTCAGTTATGTATGATGTAATTTATATTTCAGAAAGAGTTGCAATAATGACGTAATAAATAAATAAATAGGAGCAAATTAATAGAAAGAGTGGGGGTTATTGTTACCAGGGTAATGAAAGATTTATTACTGTCTCTTTTTGTATACATAGATCTGGTTTTAAACGTTTGATTGCTAACGCTTCAGCGAATTTCAAAAGGTTCGAGTTTGATTGTTTGTTAATCACCTTGAAGGACTTCAGTATATCAGCTTTATGTCCTGTATCAAGGAGATGTCTGGCGATAGCACTGTTGAATGCGTTCAATCCATTTAACCTTAAACTTTTCGGAATATGTTCTTTCAATCGGACGTAGGCTCTCCTTTCTGTTCTACCAATGTAACTGCTTTGGCAGGTACATGTAAATTTGTATACACAGTTGGTGGTAACATGAAAGGGATACCTATCGACCTTTGATTGTGTCAAAGAGCATGTTGTTTTGGACAGGACAATCAATTTCGCTGCAGGATAAGTTCTTGTCAGTGCAGTTTTTAGTCTCATATTGATTGATCCTGTGACATCGTCACCTTTGAATTGAAGTTTAATAAAAATAGGCTTTTTATTTGCTGTAATTTCTTTCGGCTTTTTAACTTCACATTTGCCGTATTTCTCAATAAATTTCAGTGGGTATCCGTTATTCTTTAAACATTTTTTAACATTCATAACTTCCTCTTCTAGTGTATCGGAAGTACATATTCTTTCTGTTCTGTAAAACAGTGTTTTGACCAGTGCCTTTTTGTAACTGATTGGACAAAAGCTATTGAAATTAAGATAACTACCATTCCATGTGTCTTTCTTATAAACTGAACGTTGAACTGTACCATCTTTTCTTCTTTTCATCGCGATATCGAGAAAATGGAACTTGTTTTCTTTTTCATGTTCCATAGTGAAATGGATATTCGGATGTGCTTCATTGAAAAACTCTAGCAGATTTATTGCATGTTGTTTATTATTACATACGATGAAGGTATCATCAACATATCTCGAATAATACGTCATTTCATCAATCGCTCGTTTGAGTTTGGTTCTTTCGAGGTTAGCCATGAAAATATCTGCTAGGATAGGACCTAACGGACTTCCCATCGCTACACCATCGATTTGTTTGTATATGATATCGTTGAACTGGAACTGAACATCTTTTGTACAAATGAGTAATAGTCGTTTGAATTCTGGTACTGGTAGAGGTAGGATGTCAGAATGTTGACAAATTATGTCTATGGTCTCAAGAAGTGGTATTTTTGTAAACAAAGAAGTTACATCAAAAGAAACCATAAACTTACCGGCAATATTTATGTGATTCATGCTGTCAGCAAATACAAATGAATCCTTTAGTGTATAGGTGGCTAATCGTTGACGAACTGGTTCTTACTTATCTGCCAACCATCGTGCAACTTTGTGGTATGGTGAATTGATCATTGACAAAATAGGTAATAATGCGTAAGGACCGAGAAGCCTGGTGGTCGATGCGTGCTAATGAGCTGGAAGCAGCAGCTGCATCTGGTAACTACCGGAAGCTCTTCCAACTCATCCGAGCCACTGGCAGCAAGAAGTCTGGTGTGAGTGAAACAATCTGCGAGGATGATGGGATGCCAATCACTAACATCCATCGACGTCTTGGACGATGGGCAGAATTTGCCGACTCTGGGACTGGTTGGAAGAAGCGGAGAGGTGGTCAGTGCATGACATGGTGTCGTGGCATGAAAGAAAGCTGCAAAGGACTGGCTTGTGTTGGTCCTTCACGACTCCCTGGCTGGGGTCCGAGAGATGGTGCTACACAGTGGCTAGAGACGTTATCAGATATGGCTCAGAATAGAAGCCAGTGGCGATCCTGCTGTAACCTTCTTTTACTTTCTTCATAAAAAGTGGTTGTGTCTCCCTTACCTGAAAGATTTCTTCTGATTGTACCTCTTCGTCATTACTCTCTTTTTCTTTTGCGTTCCTTAGTTTTTTTTTTTTTCTCTTCGAATTCCCATTGTTTTGTGTGGCGCATATATATTGGCGCTCTCTTGTACCAATATTTATGTGTTCAAATAAATAAATAATAAATAAGAGGATAACCTTGTTTATGTATTTTCGGTAATCCATACATGTGGGGCAAACGAGACCCACGAGGTCGTAGATTATTGTAAGTAGAGTTATCGATCATTTTCTTTTTCAGAAGATCTCTGAGTACTTTGGTGATTCTTTTCTCAATGGAATCAGTTAAGTCTTTGTTACTTTTCTCTAACTTGAATCTCATATGGTCATTCAAGATGGACTTCATCTTAAAAACATAATCTGTTTTGTTCATTAGAACAACACTTGAGCCTTTGTCTGACCGTAATATCATTATATCGTCATTTCGTTTAATATTTCGTAATGCTGTTTGGTGGTCTTTGGATAAAAGCTTAGACTGTGGTGCGGGTGAAACAAGATATTGGTTTGCAATATCGACTAGTTTAGATTTAAACCAGCCTTTCTTTTCTTCACTAACTGGGTGCGACTCTTTAATTTGATCAAATAAATTCTCAAATTGAGTTTCTGTGTCGATCCTGTCGGCATGTGTTTTGGGGATATGAAATTTAAATCCAAGTGACAAGGCTTCTGTTTCTGTCTGATTTAACTTCATTGTTGATAGATTATAGAGAAACTTTTCGGGGTTTTCCGGAAAGCCAAAACATAATTGTTCCTTTGACAGAGTCTTTGACAAAGTTACGTGGAAATTCTTGCATATTTTGCTTTGCAGATCTTGTATAAAGTTGATAAATTTTATGCGACATACGATACTTAGATTGTCGATTAATTCAATTTTTGTTCTTGCTCTCTTTAAACATTATGTGTTTATTGGGTGCTAATTCTTATTTAAATGTATTATATATAATTTACAAGCCATTCTATAGTCCGCGTTTGCGATAACATATCAGTCAAATCCATAGATTCTAATTGTATACTTATATAGGTTATGTCACACTTAAGTGGTTTACATTAGTCTGGTAAAAGATAATATTAAAACATGGGATTTATCAACTTTATATGCTAGATGGCTTGTAAAAAGTAAATTGATTTTTTGTAACTCAAGTAACATCCTAGGTTTCAACCGATCTTACAACTAAAATCTTTAAAAAATAGATTTTTGATTCTGAAAGTGAGATGAATGCTTAGCTACAGATATTCATCTACAGGATACTAGGATTTAAACATTCGCTTACTAAATACATTCATAAATAAAAGAAACTTGTACCTGGCTGTTGTGCTGTAGTTGTAAAATTCTTTTAGACTCTAGTATCTAAGTAAGTCTCTTCCAACTGAATACTTAGCTGACTACTGGTTAAATGCTCAAAAGTCACTTGTCTGTATATTCTGCGACTGAAATCTGTAGTTTCATAATGTTTTAAAAAAGCCTTCGCTTAATATTTGGTCTTTGTAAACGTACTCCTATGTAGTTGGGGAGATATCTACAGAATATTATTATTGCCGTGAAAGAATTTATTTTCGTAATCGATTAAATTTTGGTTATTAAGACACCCAAAAATCTAGCACAAACTTAAGAGACTTTAATTGACTGGTTGAAAGGTTTCAACAAGTAACTGCAGCCATAGTTTTAGGGTTTAGCTACCTAGTAAAGCAATTGTATTTACTAGAAATGTGGGGCTATTTTCTCTAGTTTATGTGTAACGTCGCCTAAATAATCCTAATCTTACAACTTGTCTAACTTCCGTCCCAACTGTTAATACGACATTCCTTCAATTTATAACCTTATTCCTTTTTTAGAAACCTATCGATAAATGGTTTGTGGTGTTAATTCAGTTGCGAGCCTTGCACCATTCGTCTACAAACATTACTTTGCCACTTATTTCTTCAGTACATTTGATTAACTACTTTTTCAAATGATGGATATATAGTTCATCATAACTGGTGAACAAAGTCAACAGTCACATTCATTCGTATAGTATCAACTCCGAGTAACAGTCCTACAGTAAAAATATAAGGGGCTTGAGAATGTCAGTTTAAACACATCAATATATCTCAGCGAGATTAGATGAGCCAGCAAGATCATGAATAACTTTGTGTAAATCTTATTAAATATAAATTTGAAAAAAAGGGAAAGAGCATAAACCAGCCAAAATACTCTTTAGTCCCAATCAGTTCATTCTCAACACGAACTCGTTAATTTATCGGTTTTTAGCAACGAAGTCTTTACAACGTTCATAGCAATGGAGTATACTTGAGGCGTTTGCACACGACCAATACTATGAAACAAGAGAGGCCAAAATTCCGTCGTCAATTGTCTCCTAACTTTTGGCAATTTCAAATTCTGCTTTTCATTGAGTGATAGTGGTAAAATCCCAGATTTATGGTTGGGATTTAATTTAGCGGAACTACTTGACATACTTAAATGAGCAACAAGTAGTATCCGTATTTCGACAAAAATGTCCGAGCCTCCAATGTTTTGTTCTTACCAGAGCACTCTCGTTAAACTCCCTAGATAATACTGTTCACTTCTCATCCAGGCGAAAATTTTGCCTTGCATACCGTTTTGAAACACTTCAACACGAGGTATACACACTTAACACCATAAAATATTTTCAAATTTATGGAAAGCGTTAACGGTCATGACGTGTTCTCTCCTTTACATAATCAAGCCACCAGGGCTGAAAGTCCTGGGTTCGGTTTTTGTGATGACAATGGAT